TAATAAGACTCAAACATTTTATTTATTTAGTTTCCAGCCAATTATTCAAAATGGAAAAAACTTTGATATATTTACTGTATTTTATTGATATTTTATCTTAATTTAGAGCATGTAAACAAATTGCCATTCTCTCTCTCTCTCTCTCTCTCTCTCTCATTAATAAATATAAAAATTCATTCCCTATTCCTCTATAAGTGTTAAGAAAATTTAGGTTTAATTTGAGAAAAAATTAGAACATTTGCCTCATATTTAAATAATTAACTGCTTCTCTCTCTCTCTCTCTCTCTCTCTCTCATTTGTTTGGACAATAAAGTCAATACACATATTGAATGAATGGATGGCACGCAGAGTGAGGTCTAATAAAAAGCCTAAAAGTTTGGGTCTCTGAGAGCTGAAGAACAATAAACTTGACTTCCTTTGGGGGCCAATCGTCTGACAATCAAATCAAACTTAACTAACCATTCATTCAATCAATTGTTAATTACATCTATTTATTCAATTTGTTTGACGTTTTGCCACATTATGTCAGTTCTTGCTATCTTTGAGGGCAGAAGTTATCAATGCATTCAATTAGTCGTTACTTTACTTTGCATTTAATATTTGGTTTTAAGGTTTGTTCGTATTTATTGACGATATTATCAAACAATCTATTAATACATCCCATACTTAAGGTCTTTATGGGAATAGAGAGCAAATCACTTCTAAAAATACAATTCTCATTGATATTTAAAGCTGTTTTTACATTACATTTGAGATATAAAAACATTTATTGTGTCTTAAAATCGAAAAATACAAAATTAATTTCCCCTAAAAACACGTTTTTTAAAAAACAAAAATAAAAGTTCCGATTATTTTAATGAAAAATAACTGCAATAATGATAATTAAAACCTCTTTTTTCGATCCCAGAGAGAGAGAGAGAGAGAGAGAGAGAGAAGCAGTTAATTATTTAAATATGAGGCAAATGTTCTAATTTTTTCTCAAATTAAACCTAAATTTTCTTAACACTTATAGAGGAATAGGGAATGAATTTTTATGTTATGTGTTATTAAATAATTTTAATGATAAATTGACAAATAAAGTGAACAATAAAACGCTATGAAAAGCTATGAAAAGCTAATCACTGAATACATTGTGCGGGAAAAGAGCCGAAAATACAAGCGATCGGTCTATTATTATATTAGGAAACGTGGCTTTGAATAAATTTCATACCAAAATATACAGTACAGAGTATATGGAAAACATAATTTACATTATTGTATGAAAACCTTTTTGTTGTATAACTTTATTCTGTTATTATTATTATTATTTTGTTTTGTTTGGCAATTATATGGCGTTTGTATTCCAAACACATAACTCTACTGTTATTCTGTGTTATAATGAAGTCACTCATTAGTGAACACATTATATAGTGAAGTCCCGGCCGATAGGAATTTTTATATTATTACCATATATTATATTGTTGTTTATCTTTCTCTTTGGGCTGAAAATAAAATAAAAATTAAAAATAATTTTATATCCGAATTATATATTTGTTTTACTCGTTATGTAATAGTAATTAAAATTGAAAGTGAGTGCAGGGCTTGAGTTCGAAGACCTAAATTGTTTGCAAACACTTTTTGCTTGTTTTGCATATAAAACATAAAACTTATTTTAAATTTTATCATATATTTATATATACCTATGTTTTATGGGTTTACGTATTGATTGATTTTATCTCTCTATTAAAAACAGTGTTTTTTATTTGCAAATATAAAATCACGGATTTTTAATGATATAAAACCAAAAATTCTGATTTAATATATACTGTATATTAAATACAAAATCAATTTATAATATTTTTATGATTATGAGTTGAGAAGAAAAGTGTATTACTATTATGTAAATACACGACAATCTAATGGTTTTTACATTATTTGAAAGTGTTTTAAAATTATATATAAAGTTATATCTGTTGTATAATGAGTTGTGAACAACAAAAGGAAAGAATTATTTCACGATTTCTCTCTCTTATTAGACATGAATTTACAGATTATAAGTGTATTTAAGAAATTCATTTCGATATTAATGAACTTTTTTATGTGTTTTTTGTATAATTGAGTTAAAAAGCAAATATTAAATAATTTAAACATAAATTATAAGAAATATTTCACATAAATTTTCAATATCTATATTGAAATTAAAACGTGTGAATAATTTTTGTTGATTTTTAAACAAAAGTAAACTCCGAGTTTTATTGTACAACTCTATGGGCGTTGTATTATATTTGTAATATACATAATACATAAAAATTTGTGTTTAAAATGCCATAAATATTTGAATCCTATTATTAAATATTATCGATGAAAGGATTTAAACAATTAATTCATGAATTTTTCATATAGACCTTTGCGTTACTCTTTGAATACACATATAATAAATAATGCATTTATTCGCTCAATAATTGATTTATTCAATCCATTAAAAACTATTATTTTTATGTTAAATAATTTAATCGTTTGGAAATGTATTTGTGTTTTTCAAAAATAGTAAAAAAAGAGAAAAAAATTTGGGTTTAAGTGAAAAATAACTATTTGAATGAAAAGATATATACATTTTAATAACTAATAGCAGAGAGAGAGAGAGAGAGAGAGAGAGAAATCGTGAAATAATTCTTTCCTTTTGTTGTTCACAACTCATTATACAACAGATATAACTTTATATATAATTTTAAAAAACACATAAAAAAGTTCATTAATATCGAAATGAATTTCTTAAATACACTTATAATCTGTAAATTCATGTCTAATAAGAGAGAGAGAATTTAATAATAGCGTTAACTAAATGCACGTTTCGGTCAATATTTGCTGTTTTAAAATACACTTTTAAAATGTAAGTCAAAACGCCTTTTAAATTACAAGAAAATTTACAAGGAGTGAGAGCACCCGTTAGGGCCACACATATAACATATAATTTTTACAGTAATAAATAAATCTTTAATTAAGAGAAAAAACAATTTTTTACAAAAAAAATACTATAACTTAATATTTGACATGTAATATACATGACATAATTCTTTCTTTATTTCGCTTTTTATGATTATTATTATTGAACACATATTTTTCGCAAATAATAAATAGTTTTTATACGCTATTTATTACATGAAATCGGATGAACCAAAAACCCTGAGCAGTTATTTATTATACATAAACTCAATTGTCGGTAACTAATCGATTGAATTCAGCAAAAAATAGCAATTTTTCAATCCATTCAAATGGTTTGAGCCATTGGTCTGGCATTCAATGCATTACTAATTTAAAACTACAGAATATTTATTGAAATCACGATTTTTTTCTCTGTATAATTGGAGACTCAGTTGTGTGTAAAATATATTTACGAAATAACTGTTATTTTTAATTGATTTATAGAAATTTTATTCCGATATATAAATATAAATACTTATTATATATTATTTCTTAATTAACATAATTATAAAAGCCTGAAGAGAATGAATTTATGGCCAAAATTATTTGGTTTATCTCTAAATATATTTATATTATATATTGTATGAGAAGAAAAAGAGTAAAATAATAATATATTGAATCGATAAATAATTTACACAAAATTATTATATCCGAGAAACAGATAATTTTTGGAAAAACATTTTATTTTTTGCCTTATTTTTGAGATCAATTCAAAACATATTAAGTCGAGTCGTATGTCATATAAATTAGGGGAAAAATAAAATAAATTATCATTTAATTAGAAAAAACCTAAACTAAAAATTTTATCTGCAATACTAATTGGTATCATATATTAAATTCATTCATTAATGTATTTTTATATTATATAACTATATGAATATTTTTTTTATTTGTTATATTAAGCTAATTATTCAAAATAATTAGCATAACATTAAAATTAATACTATTTTTCTTGTTTTAATATGTATTTATAATCATTATTTAAAAAGTTAATTAAGTGCTTAAATCAGTTTTCTATACACAAAACAAAAACTTTATTTAATATAATAACTAATATTAAGTTTTTGTTGTTTTTATTTATAAAATTTTAATATCCAAGAAATTGAAATACCGTTCGTTAATATGTTATGAATACTAAATTATTTTTATGACAAAATTAGAGCAAATCTGACAAAACCAGAGTTTATATAAAAAAACTTATGTAATCATAATATTACTGTTATATTCTGTACACTAATGGATAAATAGATTGAAAATTACACATTTGTTTTGATATTATATAAATATAAATTTCTTTGTAAACCCAATGCAATCGACTCATTGACCTTTCATTTCGGTTTAACAGTTAACAGCTTTTTTCTCTCACTCTATCTCTATCTCTCTTTCGTATTATTTCACTAATAATACTGAAACTCATAATTGAGAAATTAATTACTTATAAAATCCGGAAACTTAAACCTAAATTACATTTCAGAAGTGTTTCATTAATTTCTCATTTTTCTTGATTTCATAGTTAATATACACGACTATATCTGTTATATTCTGGAAGTGTAACCAAAAATATAATAGAAAATTTAAAACACATTTATTATATAACTCTAAAAACAGTTCTTACATAACGTACAGCATATACACAATAATCTGGCGAGAGTTCAGTTACTCTTATCACAAGTATTGCATCAAATCCGACGGTATATACGGGTATATAAAGTATGTAATATTATTAATACCTGTAGAAAAAAGTTGTGATAAATAACATAAATAAAGTGAATGCGTGACTAAAATTATTCAGAAGTATTTAGCCATTAAAGGCTTTAATTCATAAATAAATGTACGTTTCCTCACAAACACTATGCGATTCCTGTCATATATTTTAACCATTATATGTACGGTATAGTCATGTGGCGTATAGTATGTGTTCAGTATTTAGTCTCTTATCATAAGACTCGGCGAATAGTTTGCATAAATTGGTATCAATTTTCACAATACTTTTTTTGCTTATAGTTTTCATATTTATTACTTAATTAACTCTGACTTCTATGGTATGAGAGAATTAAAAGGAGTTATTTATACAGAAGTGTATAATAAACATAAATCACAAAACAGGAGTGCAATCATACATATCATAGATATCACACATGTCTGTGCAAAAAAGGTATATGAATTTTAATGGCAATGTCAGGGCATATGAGGTGCCAATTCTGGTCTGCAATTGCGATGAAATATCGTATAGTTTTGTAATATATTGAGACCCGAAGAGTAGTTGAGGATTGTTTACCAGAATCGCTGCAAATGATTCATTACAAAGGATTTCCTGCAAAACACACACTGTTTGCGATGTTTTATGGATTAATCGCTGCCTAAACCTAAGCACACAAAGTATTTGATTATTTAATTTATTCGCTCGACAGACAGTTATATGAGTTATTTTACTGGCAATTACTACCCATATATGTCTGGAAATTAATAAATTTATTGCTTTATTCAATATAAATATAAATCCAAAACAAATAAAAGGGTATTATTGTTAATTAAAAGCGAAATTATAGTTACTATAGAAATGGCAGCCAATATATGCCAGCGATTTGACAAATTATAACTTTATTTTTCCCTTTGAAACATTGACACAAATTCTTTGTATTCATTTCTCTCTCAATTAATAAATGAGTTTTCAATTCAATATGAATATTAAGTTCAATGCAAGTAATTGTGTTATTATTATTGAAAAGCTATAAAAACAAGATAACAAATATTTAAATCAAATAACCATTCATTTGGGAACTACACCTCAAACCTAAAACTCTTACAGTTATATGTTTTTATAGAGATTAATATAAAAAACAACATTTGAAAGACAACTATAAGAGAAAGATTTGAATAAATAAATCAAAAGACAAATAAATATTTATGTCTTACGTTTGATATAATCATATAATCAAAGAATGGAAATAAATTGAATTCTTTAACGAAAACCATTAATCAATTTGTTGTGTTTTTTAATCGTGTGGTCCATAGGTTTGAATGCAATCATAAACACGGGAATCGAGTTTAGATATACTTTCTTTAAATTATAAATTTATTATATAATCTCTCTCTCTCTCTCTCTCTCTCGCTCTCTCTGTTATTTAAAAAATATTCAAGTGTTTCGTAGTTTAAGAGGAAAATAAGTAAAAATTTGTAGTTTAAAGATAAATCTCAAGTATTTAATGATATGATCTGTCATTTAAGTTGACTTATTTTGCTATAAAAATTAGACTCTTATAGTGTATACACTTTATAAAGCAATGGCTCTAATGGTATAGAAAGTACTGTACGTTATACTAAATGATGAAAAATTGCTGATCATATGATTGAATTAATTTCACCATTAAATTGCCGATAATTTCCAACAAAATCTGTTTGGAATTCCTTCTCTCTCTCTCTCTCTCTCTCTCTCTCTCTCTCTCTCTCTATCCTTGACTCTCAAGTGTACAAAACCAAGAGAGAGAAGGAATTCCAAACAGATTTTGTTGGAAATTATCGGCAATTTAATGGTGAAATTAATTCAATCATATGATCAGCAATTTTTCATCATTTAGTATAACGTACAGTACTTTCTCTCTCTCTCTCTCTCTCTCTCTCTCTCCTGTAATGTATTGCAAAAGGTATTTACTTAAATATATTCTAGAAAATATTTTTTAGACTTAAATAAATTATACTATATTTACAGATGAAACCGGTTTCTAATTCAAGAATATAAAAGTTTTATTTCAACAGAAATAGAAATTATTGTTATTTTGTTCATATATTTTGCAAAATGATTATTAATATTTGCATTTTATTTCTATGCCTTTTTATCTCCATTTGTTTCATTAGTTTCACTCATTTATAATGAAGTTTTCATTTTTCAAAAGAAATAACATATTTTTGAAAAACTTATTTCATAATCGATGCCATCATTCAGAATAAATAATTACAAATTTGTTTTAGCATTTCTGTTGCCAACAAAACAAACAAACTTTCAATCAATTATTTAGCAAAAAATTTTTTGGTGTGTTTTTTGAATAATATTTATCTATTTCTGTATAACTATCTCTTCGTTATAATTATTTGTAATCATTTGGCGAATATATTTTGCTTATTTTTGATTGTGCTTTAAACCCACAATTCATCATTAGTTTCAGGGCATCAAAGTATTGACTATTTTTATGTTAATTCAATTAATCTGTAAATACATTCACCGCTTATTTTGACAGTCATTTTCTCTGTGACCCAAAAATGATTTTTCATTATAGAGAAAGCTTTCGGTTCAAGAAAAATGTGATTAAATTTACACATAAACACAACACAAGAGATAGATAGGGAACATCTGTCCCTCATTTGTAGCACACATTTGTTTTCAACCACACAATAGATAATGAAAACCTAACAAAAAATAATTAATTATTCATAAGTATTAATGGGAAACAACTTTCGATTTATAATATAAAAAACATTTTTTGTTTTAATCTACAGATTATATTCGATGACCATAAGAGGGCCAGTGCTGTACAGTTCGATAGGTTCTCATTATCATACGTGGTGTACGCAAACCGGGAGATCGTCGTGACGGCCGGTGCCATCAATTCCCCCCAATTGCTTATGTTGTCTGGCATTGGACCCAAAGAGCACCTCAAATCGTTTGGAGTAATCATTTTTTTTGCTCAACAATTATTCAGTCCTTTCATTAATTATAGTCTCGGGGTTTCTGTAATTTTTTGGGGGCGAGAGAGCTATATATACACATAATTATTAATTAACCGTTTAATGAATCATTAATTCATTTACACATCCCATTCCTATCGCACAGATACCAGTGGTGGCTGATCTGCCCGTGGGCTACAACCTTCAGGACCACATATACGCTGGCGGTATACACTTTACAGTGAATGCCCCAGTCACTTTTAGCCATGAACGTACATTTAACGGACAAAATGTGGCCAAATATTTCACTTCTGGAACCGGTAATCAATAATCATTGCCTTTTTTTCTTATGCCAAACGAAACAAAATACATAACTATTATGCATATCTATAATAAGCGTAACAATAAGTATAATTATCGTATAGTGTATTGAATGTTAAATACAGTGTATATGTAATACATTTGTGAGATTTTGTTGCTCCGGAATATAATGTCCATCAAATAGAAACTCATGTAATATTTGATTGGAAATAATTTATGGTTTCAATATTCAAACATGAAATTAGGATAAACTGCATAACAATTATTTTTACTATTGAACCAATAATTACAGGTCCGTTGACATCACTGGGCGGAGTGGAAGGGCTCGCGTTTGTGAACACCAAATATGCAAACGTTTCGGACGATTATCCAGACTTTGAGATCCATATGTCGTCGGCCACATGTACTACCGATGATGGCCGGGGACTCAAACAGTATGCGGGGCTCACCGATGAGGTTAATACAACGTTATTATGTGTTTTGCGCCCATTGTTTGCGTAATTTTAGGCTAAATTGTACGGAAAATGCATTTTCTATTTAAATCTAGTGAACCGTTTAGCCAGACGTTCACTCATTCATATATTTTAGCAAAAATTATTCACAAAAAACTAAACAATTGAATTATGAGAAGGAAAAATATATTAGTCTGTTATCCAAACAGTAAGGCTTCAAACAAAATAAAAAACCGTTTTTCTGTATTTATTTTTTTTGTGAATATATAATGAATAATGAAATTTTTGTTTAAAGAATAACAATAAAGAGATGAAAGAGTGAAACAAAGTTTTCAACACAAGAGAACTTACAAGTTATAAAAGTTATAACGAAAACAGTGGAGAGAGAGAGAGAGAGAGTCCATTCAACTTAAAATAATTGTTGATTAAATTCTATAATATTATATTATAATTGCATAATTATATCTGATCTCAGAAAGAGAGAGAGAGAGAGAGAGAGAGAGAGAGAGAGAGAGATTCTCTATAGTTTTTGAATTGTTTAAAGTGTACACAAAAAGATTATAAAACTTTTTTTGGTTGAGTTTTTTGTGTTGAGTAAAATAAGTTTTGTACACTTGAGAGTCAAGGATAGAGAGATAGAGTGAGGGGACAGGACTTATAAGAATGAGATAATAGAGAAGTTAGTGTAGGCGTTATCAGTCGTGCAGTTAATACCTTATTATAATCTTATATAACGTTTCGTGTGATTTTAATTTCCTCTTTTGAAACAAATTTTGGTGTAATTTTCCTTTTGAACGCTTTTGTAAAGAGAGTCTCAAAAAACTCATAATTTGCTAGAAATACAATTCCGACCACACATTCACTGCAGTCTCACAATCGCCGCAATAACTCATATTTTTGGGCTTTTTTTTTGTTGCCCGACATGAGAAACGATGAGATTATTATTTATTAGTCTATTTAATAAACATTGAATTTTGAAATGAAAAATGAAATAATTCGTTTTGCTCATCCATTTTCACCCATACATGTGCTGATGGACTTGGCGTACGTGTGCCGACACACAGGTATACAATCAGGTGTATAAGCCATACGCCACGAGTGAATCATTTAGTTTGGATCCCGTTATGCTTCGCCCTAAAAGCCGGGGTTACGTAAAGCTGCGTTCCGTCAACCCATACGACCATCCAATCATTGACCCGAAATACTTCTCACATCCGGAAGACATTCACTTAATGGTTGAGGGCATGAAGCTATCCATAGCTATCGGTATATCTCCTCCGTTCCGCAAATATAATTCGCAACTCTTTAAGACCCAATTTCCCGGCTGTGAGTCCTATCCCTTCCTGAGCGACGAGTACTTGGCGTGTGTGGCCAGGAGTTACACCGCAACCATATATCACCCGACGGGCACCTGTAAAATGGGTCCCCATTGGGACCGTACGTCCGTTGTTGACCCCCGACTCAAAGTGCTGGGCGTCCGCGGCCTCCGAGTGGCCGACGCCTCCATAATGCCGACCATTGTCTCCGGCAATACTAACGCACCCGTCATTATGATCGCCGAAAGGACAGCCGATTTTATTAAAGCTGAAAAAACAAGCGATTCAATCAAATTGGCGGCACATATATAAACGATAGACACGTCTGTCCTATGATTTACTTTTTATATTGTTATAAACGAAACAAAACAAAATTAACTCATCTGTAGTCAGATTTTTTGTTTCTTTTTCATTCACTGAAAGCACACAAAATTCAATGCAAAAACTCATTCTTTGTTTTATTCATAACTTTGTTTTTGTGCCATAAAAACCATATTTTTAGGATATAGTGTTACTAATAATTTTATGTAAATTTGCATTTTAATATATTTAATACAACCAAAAAGCAGAGCACATCAACAAACTAAGTTTATTTGACTTATATTTTACACAAATATAAATGACTCCAAAGTTTTTCCATAATATTTCTAAACAAAAACTTTGATTTAAAAGAGAAGGAAAAAGAGAGGAAAAACAAAAATCTATGAATACATTTGAAGTGGAATAATGTTCTCAACAGTAAAATACCGAGAAATTAATTGAATGGAAACGAAAGACAACTAAAATAAATAAGTATTAAATTTATTTATAAGTGAAGAGAGAAAAAAACTCTTCAAAAATACATACATGTATATAAGAATGCGTTGATAACTAAGAATGGATTCCAATCTCTATTTTTTGCATTACATTTAAGGGGAAAACAGAGGAACAGAGGAACTGAAAATTGGAAAACTAGTCGGCATTTAGTTTAATAATGCTTTCATACGTTTAATAAATATTTTTTATTTTTATAATATATTTTTTGCAACACATATATACACTAACATTGACTGACAAAACCATTCCTACCAGTGCTCGAGTCTGTGATTATAAAAATTTTATAAATAAGTTACACACAGTATCTATCAGTACACAAATCATATCACAAGTACAGTATATTCTTCTCATTATTATTATAATATCACGTATTTTTTGGCAATAAAAACATTTCCTTTACAACACACATACACACAAGAATATATACACTATATATAGATATACAGTGTATTTTATGGTTCATATAGTGTACAAACAGAGATACTGTGTATTTACTGTATGTATATAATTGCATTGTGAGTCCTGTTTTGTTATGTGAGAAATCATTTTTCAATCCTCACTATAGAGTGGCTGTTCTTATGGCTCATAAAGTGATAATAAAAGAAATCTCGTATAAAATCTATTTACGTGATCTCTATCTCTGTTTGACTTCACTGTTAAACCATTTCTGAATATCTTATAAAAAGATAAATATTTTTTCTGAGGCTTTAAGAATTGAAATACTTCTCTGCACTCGCTTTAGGAAATTGTTTAACATTTCATAATCTCATCTCCAAATATTAATAGTGTATTTCTTTTCACTGCTTTCTAATGCCTTTCAAATACACTGCAAAACAGTGTATTATTTCACATCAGAATTATTTTAAAAACATTTTAAGCATATTATAGCCCATAGAATAAATAGTTATGAGTTTTTGTGTTTTTATCAAATAGTTTTCCCATTATTCTCTCTCTCTCTCTCTCTCTCTCTCTCTCTCTCTAATTCTTAGTTATCAACGCATTCTTATGTATGTATTGCTGAAGAGTTTTTTCTCTCTCTCTCTCTCTCTCTCTCTCTCTATCAGCATTATATAATTGCCATCTGTTTATGTCTATAATTAAAATTATTATACTTTGGGCTCAAATGAAATTTATGTAAATGCAAAATAATCTCAGATATACTACACTCTGTGTTGTCTGCAATGTTTGGGACTTTGATATTCATACAAAATTAAACATTTAAAATACTGTTTTATTTTTATTTGTTTTATGTTTTCATTATAAAACTTACAGTACTTTTATTCTCACTCTAATTGTTAACTCCTTTTAAATTATAACAATTAAAATAAAATGTTAATAATATACGGAAAGTAAAATGTTTTTATAAATTTTATTTTGATTTTATTTTTTATAAATTATAATACAAATTACCTTATGTTATATTTGAGAGAAAAAATCTGTTAAACTATGTATTATTATGTTATCTAAAAATTATCGGTTTTTCTAGAACTATATTAATAGAAGTGAAATGTGTTTCAATAAAATATTTATTACCCGTATATCTAAAAGTCTAAATTAATTTATTATTTTTAGCCTTTTATTTGTATTTTACTGTGAAGTAAGTATAATGTTATCAGTTGTTTGTAATATGTATAGAGAATACAGTATATAATGTGTACACGAATGATGAGAATCTAATTCATAATTGTCTATCGTTATGATCGTTGAACTTCCAAAATACACATTATATTACACCATATTATTCCTCATATCTCCTATAGATATGAACTACAAATAGAAAATAAAAACATTTGATTAATTTTTTCACTGAATATCTTATACTAAACTGTTTGACCCAAAAATCGTTTCGCGAAACGAGTATCTGATCGTAAACTAAGAGCAGAATTATTAATAAAAAGCCCCAAAATATATACTGCAATGAATATGGAATCGCTCTCACAATTATAGATAGCACTGGAATTATAGAGCACTTATACCTCCGCTCTCCTCGATATACATATATTTAGGATGTGTTTCGAGAGAAACAAAAAAATGATAGCAAAACATGTGTTGCCATAAGTAAGGAATTGGTTTTCCAGAGCCAAACGCCAGTAATAAAGTATTTCACATATAATTGGGACAAACGTCTGACACAACCAGAAGTTTGGTTCATTATATTATATACGAGAGCCATCGCTCTGTCGACAGCCCTTTCCACACAACAACAGTCCAAATGCTATTCAGTTATATTTCAGTCAATGAATTCAAAAGCAAAGAGAGAAGCGGAGAGAGAGAAGCAAAAGGGGAAAACCGTCGCAAACGGCGAACAAAAATACACGACCAGAGAGTCAGACAGTTATTAAATGAACGCTAAATTCATACAAACAAGTGTTGAGACCATTATGTGAATAATGTTTGTCTCTCTCTTATGGTTGAGTTGTTTAGGCGTTCAGTAGAGGAAAGCAGAGGAGACTTCGACTTCGAATTCAAGTTCAAAAACAGAATTCATTTTTATTTTTTATTCTCATTTCATGTTTTGAACATTTTTTTCCATTACTGACAGGAATTTAATACACAATCAAATGCTATGTTATATGAAAAGGAGTTTGTTATCTGAATTGTAATAATAATTGAAATGAAATGCAATGGAAAAAATGCTCTCTCGACTCGACATTTGGTGTCACTTAAAACTTATTGAAGCATTAATTCAATCTTTTTTTTGCTGCTTATCTTTAAAGTGAATCACATTTTTATTATACAATATTCCGTTTATTCTCTCTCTTGTTATCAGTTTTTTTTGTTTGTCTTAATTGAAGCGAAATAATAATTAATAATCACATCTCGTGTCTAAACTCGAGTACATTTTTGTTATTTTTTGCTCTGTGTCTCTGTCTTTGCCCCCCATTTGCCTCTCAATCACTACACATATAGCAATGTTAGCACCGAAACAGCACTTCATGTATTAGTCCTTTCCATTATCATCTCTCACTCTCTTATGATCCCTACCTTAACACTAAGGCTATGGTATATAAAGTTATATAAGGGTATATGAACTCTTAATAGTCTCTCTCTCTCTCTCTCTCTCTCTCTCTCTCCTACTGATGATAATTGAAATGCATTTTTCATTTCGTACCAAAACTACAACTGAAATATTATAATCACTTGAAATCTCATTTGAGAATTCATTTTGTTGTCGAGAAAAAACTTTTTAAGAAACATAATATTAGATTTAATTGTATATAATTAGCAAATAAAATAAAAGTTGAACACTATTTACAAATTACATTATTTTTATACAATAGGGTGCAAAGTATTGATTATCAATAATTGTCCATAATAAATTACAATTTGTTTAATGACACAAAAACACATTATAAGATATAATAACTAGGTTTGACTGTGTGTTGGTTATTAATTATAGTCCCTAAACAATGGCATAACATGTAATCAATTTAAATTTAATTAAATAAATGTCACAACATTTATATTTGTAGTTTAAAAACAAAATAACAATCTGTTTATCCGTATATTATATTCAATTCAATTGAAATTTAGGTTATTATTGTATTTATTGCCGATTTTGTTGACGTTTATATAGATTTATAAGTATTATTGGTATTGATATATATTTTATAGATATTTCTGCCATTTATTTCATTGTTTCAATAAAACCTCAGAGAGAGAGAGAGAGAGAGAGAGAGATTGCTTTCCGGAGCGAAACTTTAGCCACACTTTCCTGAGTAATAAATAACAGATTTATATATTGTTTTTGAGAAAAATCTATAATCCATTTGAAATTTCATGAAAAATAACGATTTAAACGTATTATTTCCACATTTATTTCAATTGAAATATAGGGGACAGGAATTGATCACAAATGTATTGCCATATCCTCTCAAATTGTATATCACCTATTGCTCTCTCTCTCTCTCTCTCTCTCTCTCTCTCTCTCTCTCATTGAAATTTTTAGCAAAAGTTTTATTATAATTTCGCCGAAAAACGATAAAAACACAACAATTATTCAATAATTCATTTATTGTTCAAATGATAATACACTCAGGAAAGTGTGGCTAAAGTTTCGCTCCGGAAAGCAATCTCTCTCTCTCTCTCTCTCTCTCTCTCCTAAGAAAACAAATTCTTAATTCAAACGCAATTTATTATAACGAGAGAGAGAGAGAGAGAGAGAGAGATCGAGTATAAATTGAAAGACAAAACAACTTTCTCTCTCTCTCCCTCCCTCCCTCTTTCTCTCTTAACGAACTCACTTATAGTGTATTTTTATATTTGATTTAATAATAAAAATTGTAAAAACAGTCTAACAATCGTTAACTTAATAGTGATATACAATCCAAAAAGGCATCCAAAAACGTGAACCACAACTAAATTAAAGTCAATAACAATGTTATATACTGTATATAAATGGTGTGTAAAATAATTTTTGTTTGTTTGCCATTTGTCTTAACGTTCATATGGTTTACCTCATCGTTAGTAAAATGTATGGTAAATAGTATTTATTAATATACAAAATAATTTCATAATTTTTTTATTATATTATATATAAAAGAGCTGGTATTTTGTATTTAAATCTTTTACCATATATGATATAAACGGTTAAAACGGGATATAATTATAT